CTGCTACTGCTACTGCTACTGCTACTGCTACTGCTACTGCTACTGCTGCGACGACGACGCCTCCGACTCTGACTCCGACTGCTGCGGCTGCTGCTGCTGCGGCGACTACTGCTACTGCTGCTGCTTTTAGAACTGTCAAGCGGATTTGAGAATTGCATTTGACGTTCGAAGAAATGTCCTGAAACAAACCTTCCATCTCTGACCAATGTGGTGGTTGTGGGGAACTTTCCGGTCAGGAGCCACCCTGCTTTGTTACCCAGGATGCATTTTGGTTGCAAAGTTCGGAATCTGAAGGCATGGAGAGGGCTTTGCATAAGTGTAGCATTGGCTTGTCTGATGACCAAACTATTTGAAGACTGTTGGGGTCTGTTGTCGGGACCTGCTGTTGACAGGCAGGGTCGTTAACTTTGAGGTTACGAAATGCTGAGGTCTGCATACCAAACCAAAATCATCTTAAAAACATCTGCTACTTGAGGCATCTCAAGTTCACGAAAGGCGCTGTGCCGGTATATACTTTAGTTTTTGCAGTGCAGTTGCTTTTTTTCTAAGTGCTGGAAGGGTGGTCCCCAAGTCTTCGTTGCATTAAGGACAAACGACTCTATATAGAATCGGCAAACTGTTGTGCATTCTTTTTCACACCAGCCTAGCTTGCGACCAAATAAATTTACTGTCCTGCATCTGAGGCTCAACTGACTCAGTAGACTCAATGACATGAAAAGCATTGAAAAGCTATTATTATCGAAGGCACGACACTCAAAGAATGGCAAGCAGCTTCAATGAGACCGAACAGTTGTTTCTTGGGTTGTTGGTACTCCTAGCTAGGCCAGAGCTAGGGACGAGCTGAATGTGGGGCATAGGAAAACCTTCGGCTCTGAAGCATGGTAGAGCATGGAGAGATCAGGTAGGTTGGGACTACCTTTTGTGATTGACAGCTTGAACTGCAAAGCATGCTGTGGGCCTGCCTGGATTTGTCCTTTAGCTTCAAGCATGGACTTGCCATTCCTCAAATAGCAAAGACGCTGGCAGAAAGAACCACAGCTTGACTGTACCAGCCACTGGCTCACAGGGTCCACTATACGCATCAATTACATTGTCTTATCGTGGATCCAGTTGAGAGTCACAGACCATGCAACAAGAACAAACCTCTGCGCCAAGTAGCTCGATGGGCTGCTCGACCTTCCAATCCTTGGAGTCACAACCCGACGTGCCCACAGAAGCCTTTGAGGCCCGACCCGAGGCCTGGAGTCACTTAACGGATTGTGAAGCGTTTGGATCAACGAT